GATAGATAGATAGATAGATAGATAGATAGATAGGAGAGAGATAGAATAAATAGTAGATAGATACAATACAATACAATACAACAGCAGAGTTGGAAGCGACCTTGGAGGTCTTCTAGCCCAACCCCCTGCCTAGGCAGGAAACCCTATCCCGTTTCAGACAAATGACTATCCAGCATCTTCTTGAAGACTTCCAGTGTTGGGGCATTCACAACTTCTGGAGGCAACTTCTGTTCCACTGATTAATTATTGTCATTGTTAGGCAATTTCTCCTTAGTTCTAATACAATAATACAATACAATAGCAGCGTTGGAAGGGACCTTGGAGGTCTTCTAGCCCAACCCCCTGCCTAGGCAGGAAACCCTATCCCGTTTCAGACAAATGACTATCCAGCATCTTCTTGAAGACTTCCAGTGTTGGGGTATTCACATCCTCAGGAGGCAAGCTGTTCCATTGATTAATTGTTCTAACGGCCAGGAAATTTCTCCTTAGTTCTAATACAATAATACAATACAATAGCAGCGTTGGAAGGGACCTTGGAGGTCTTCTAGCCCAACCCCCTGCCTAGGCAGGAAACCCTATACCGTTTCAGACAAATGTCTATCCAACATCTTCTTAAAGACTTCCAGTGTTGGGGCATTCACATCCTCAGGAGGCAAGCTGTTCCATTGATTAATTGTTCTAACGGCCAGGAAATTTCTCCTCAGTTCTAAGTTGCTTCTCCCCTTGATTAGTTTCCACCCATTGCTTCATGTCCTGCCCTCAGGTGCTTTGGAGAATAGCTTGACTCCCTCTTCTTTGTGGCAGACCCTGAGATGGAGGGGACCATGGGGGGGGGGGAATGCTGCACGCATAACCCCCCATGCTCCCCCCCCCTGGCGGTCCATTTTTGGTCCCAGGAGGCTGCAGGGAGGCCTGTTAGGCCCAAAACAGGGGACAGGGTCCAGTTGAATATGGAGGGTTTGCATGCGCAAGCACAGAGGTTGGGAGAAAGCACGGGGGTCGTACGGGCATTGCATTACGGACAATATTGTCACTTTCAGCACGCAACAACAAAAAATTAGTCATCACAGGTATAGTAGTATATGACAGGTATCTCTTCCTGTCATGACAGAATTTCTGTGGTCATGTGACTGCAATTTAAAATGGCGGGGTTTTTTTTGCCAGAAATGTGTTTCCTTTTGCTTTTCAGCAAATAAACCCTCTCATTGCTGACAATGGATTCACTTCATGAGCACCACCCTTGCTCAGCAGTCTTTCACTTAACAACCTCTGCGAAAAAAGCTGGTAAAACTGGGTGTGGCCATGTGGCGACCTGCTGAATGACCGGCATGATTCTGGGCCTCGATGATGGTCATAAGTCAAGGACTACTTGTATCATTGGTGAAAGAGCAAAAGCAGGTAAAAATAAGAGGATGAGGTTTTGTAAAAAAAAAAAAAGCTTCATAAAAATTACTTACAAAACGAAAAATAATAATAATAGGATTAAGACTTTTTAAAGAGGCCTCGAAGCAACCAAACTGCACCGTTCTCGCCTGGGCAAAAGTTTGCCTCCTGAAATAGAAGAAGCTCTATCTAAAAAAAGAAAGAAGACTCAAAGGATAGATGTAAAGCCGAGGAGAATTTTTTTTCTCTCTCTCTCATGCTTTTGACAGATGCCTCAGAGTATCAACCGCAGCTGTAGAAGTATGTATGTCTGCTCCAAAAAATGTCAGCGATTATGCGGTGGACTTGCAGAGAATAAAATTTAACCTAGGAAAGCTAAAATCAAGGCTGCGTCAATGTTCAGAAAAGAAGAAAGTTCCTTTTTCTTAAAAAATAAATAAAAATGATATGGTCATCAGAACGCTCGGCTGAAAAATTAGAAGGCAATGCAAGGTTAACGTTTCCTGCGTCAGCCAAGATTTCCTCAGGGAAGTGTCTGCAGTAGATTTTTAATCCCTGAGTTTCCAGTTCCAGCAGCAACCGTTCCAGCGGATATTCTTCTCTCTTTTCGCTGATTTCAAAGCAGCCCTGAGCTCAGTCAAACCTGCTTAGTACAGATTGAGGAGGACCAAGAAACCGAGGGATATAGTTAGAAACTGAATGGATGTTTCCAAGCATCTGAATTTTGATCATGTGA